ATAACTTTTCTAGTGTTCTCTTTCTTCTTCAACACCCCGTCATTGGGATTTGGAAGTAGTATCTATTATGTATGTTAGACTATGTAAGTATTGTTACACATTTTTATCAAAAGTAAAATCAACCTGCGACAGTCTTGGCGACTCCGTAGGGCATTGCATTGAATTGCGGCGTAAGGGCCGCAGGTTCGATTGCCGTGCGGAACATATAATTATATGACTTACAAATAATTGTACGGGAGAAAATCCCATAGTGGGGTTTTTAAAGATAAAATAAAATAAAGTCTATTGACTGAACATAAAGCTCAAAGTGTCCAATGATATTTTATATATCCGGCTGTTGGCGTTTATATCCGGCCACGACTAGATGCGGGCGATTACGCTTCCTTAAATTTAGGTGTATTTGATTATTCGTATCTAAAAGTAGGTGTAGCTGGTTGTCAGCATATCAGTTAAAACTAGGTCTAGGAAATTCCGAAAAATAATTTAAATAACTATCACTTCTGTCAACTTTGTTAAAATACCAAAGCACCTACTAAATAATATCAGCGAGAGTAGGTTAAGGTACTTTATCTAATAGCAGCCAACTTCTTTATAACTTATCTAACCAGCGCGTTTAGATTTAGGTTCATATTTATTTTACCGAAATGCAGTTTCTACCCTTAGGTCTCTCGCCTAAGAAGGCGATTCAACTTCAATTATTTTTCTTTCGAGGACCAGCCAATGAGGGCATCCACGACTTTTGCTACCACTAGGCCGGTGCCATTTAAGAATGCGGTGAAATATTTCTTAGCCGGGGGAGTTAATTTGTTAGAAAAGTATAGAGAGTAATGTTTCTTTGTGAAATATCAAATATATTTTTAATTGATTAGATTAGAAGTTATTCCTAAAAGTAGAAGAGTTAAAAAAAATCAAAAATGTGTAGTACTGAGGCATTTTATACGTGGTAGAGTCATGCTGCAGCTATAGTAGTATAGTTGTAGCACGAATGGGTCGGCTCGACCGGGGTAGGGCCACGCCACACGCTCTCACAGAACACCAGCGTAATATAGCAGCTTAACACTGCTGTTTATGGTGAGTGTAGAGAACCGGAGACCCTTTTTACTGGAAAAGAGGCATTCCATCTTAGTCCTCACGGGTGACAACGCATCTGCATTTTGCTTCGCAAATGAGGATAGATGTAGATGTCTATGGGCCACAGCAACCACTTACCATCAGGTGGACTGTGTGCTCGTTTGTCATCCTATCCTATAAAAAAAATTATACATACACTAGAAAGCGAAAAATATTTATTTAAAACGCAACTTTTAAATGATGATGACACTGTGCTCTCGGTAGAGAGTAATTATGTTCTGTGATTCTGTGTGATCATCTGCGTAACAAATAATTTCATCTTAATCCCAAGTAGCGAGAGAGAGCGACTATCTGGTGAGTGATCACATCGACACCATTGTCACTTCAGTTTGCCCAGAAGAAAGTAATAATAATAGGCTTCTTTATAAAATTTAACAGACCTACGAACTTACGGTCCACCTGCTGTAGCCCATGGACAACTGCAGCCAACTTCAAACGAAGTAGGTTACCGATGCGTCACCTCTGCTCTGAACACTAAGATGGAATGCCTCACCAACCTGTAACAATAGTGGCTTTATATTATCGCTCTTGTATTATCGTTTATAACTATTGTTATATTGGTTAGATGTGGATATTGATACGTAAAGTTTGTGCGGTACTGCGTATTAAATGTGAAATACTAGTGGAAAGTGGTTGTCGAATGTCAAGTGTCTGCTGGGTTAAACTATTTATGAAAACTCTCAAAAACTACGCAATGTGACGATTCGGCATATCGCAAAAATCATAATTAAAATAAATTTTACACTAGGCTGTATGGCGACAGATTCTTTTGTCTTTAAATAATTTATAAAAGTGCAAACTCTTTCCGTCAAATCGGTTGGTTATAGAATTAAATCTTAAACAATTTAATTTAAATTTTGAGCAATAGTAGGTAACTTCAAACAATAAATGTGTCCAAGGAAGAGAGTTTTGGCGGGAAATTGACCGGCGGCGGTTTGCTGCTCCTGTATTATTGTTTAAATAATGGTTTGAAGTGGACTTTGATATGTAAAAGTGTTGCGATTTTGTGTATTAAGTGTCTACGCATGTGAACTATTAGTGGAAACAGTGAAACAAGTGCTCTGATGGTGATGGATTCTCAAGATAAGCTGTTTGTTTGCATAGGCACCTTTAGATACCATCGCCAACTATCAGCTGTCTGCTGGATCAAGTTGCCGCCAAAATCTCCCAAGAACTGCACAATGTGACGCATCAACATATTGTGAAGCAGTGTACTATGAAGGAGTGGGGAAATTGCAATAAACCGAATAAAAATACTTAAGACTTGGCCTAAAGGTCTAGATACCAGGCCATAAACTCCAAAAAAAAAATGTGTCCAAGGAAAGTAATGGAAGCTATTTACATTGTGTCAATGAACTATATAATATGACGTTGGACTCTCGACTTTATTACCTTTTTATAAGGCTAATCGCGCTATTTACATAATATGCATATAAACCCATTATTTTTCCTAGCAACATGAGTAACGTATCAACTTACGTCATGCAGTGAAGCGAACCAGAGAAAGTTCCATTGTACATTGTATCCTCACAGTGTACCATTATCGTTATAAATGCCATTATATGTGTAATTAAAAGGTATAACTATAGTGATTATAAACTCTTTGGTTATAACCACAAAGCTTCTAAATCCTTTTGCCCACATTACTTTACTTCCCACACAAGTTGATTTTCACTCATAAATAAGTAACTACATAGGTACTTTCACTTTCAAAATAAGTTGCGTCTGGGACTTTACGTAAATTAAAAATATGAAATAAATTTTATTAAAGAAATAATTTTAAAATATTATCTAAAACCAAATACGTAGATTTCCAATGTTTTCTATCGGAATGTTTTATAATATTGTACTAATAGGAAAAAAAAAATTTTTCAAAAGACAGATAGAGAATTTATAATTGTAATTATTTAATTACTAATTAAGCATTTCGAGGACATAATAATTATGACGACCAAAAACTAATAGGGCAGCGCGGCGGACTCTTTCTGCCCAAAAATCTTTTTCGGAGGCCTGTCTGTGTCCGTCACGAAATATATTTATTATAGACTATTTACTTCAATATTTTGTTATGTATAGAAGCATAGGACGGTCATCTTGGGACAAAGAGCAGTAGGCCATCCACTAGATCAGGGGATTTCAAAGTGGGGGGCGCACCATCCAGGGGGGGCGCAGAGACCTGCAAAGGGGGGCACGAGCTAGCTGCGTAGTTAGGGACCTTACGACCGAGAAACGTCCGTAGGAAGGTGCAATGTATGTACACCGAAATAATTGGTGAAACAATGTTTTGGGCCAAATATTTCACAATTTATTCCAAAATAGTAGAGGAAGCCCTTCAATCATATCTACCCATTTCTGAGATTTTCTGCTGTTTGGTACAATAAAAACCAAGTCCAGAAATAAACTTACTCGTAACATCGACAGTGCTTTGCGTTGTGCGATTTCTGTGTTTAATCCGTGAATCGGAAACCTCGTTAAAACCATGCAAGCTCATCCATCTACATTCGATTAAATAAGAAGTAATATTATATAATTAAGTAGTTTTTGTATGATATTATGTAACTTTTAAGGATTAAAAATTTGATGTTATTGAACAAAATTACTTTTTTCTAACCTGATAAAATTATCTGAACAAGGGGGTGCGGATATTTTTTTTTGTAGAAAGGGGTCGCTTCGGAAATGAGTTAGGGACTGCACTAGATGGAATCGTCGACTTTGTAAAATGAAAAATCACACAAACATTATTATGAGGGTATAGCTTTGTTTGTTTTCAAACAACTACAATTGTTTTTTTTTTTAATATTAGACTAACAAACGAGCTGACCTTGCGGTAACTCGTTCTGTCTAAAAAGTAATGAATTATAATGCCATCTAAGGGGATTAACGTTATGCAATCTGAAAAAATGCCCTAAAAAGGCAAAACCGGTCTGGTTATTACATTAAAATATGCGTGAATACATTTCCCATTCAAATAAACAGTGGAATTCTATGGAAAGAGAAAAATCACTTCTATAAGCTTTAATCTATGGCCTATGGCCTTTCCCGTTGTGAAAAAGATTTCCCAAAATCGCTACAATTTTAACAAAAACTGCATATTCTTCTATATAACTGCTTTCAGTATTCCGACTAAAAGTGCGGAAACATTCTTATTTCTTTCTAAAGAAGCGTCCATTTTTAAACTGCGCCTATCAACCCGGCATGCAATTGTGTATAACATTGGTAGTAATCGTTTGCCGGTGGGAATCACTTCTCAGCTACGTCTTTTTTTTATAATTATTATATTTTGCACCTAAAATAGGATATAACAAACGTAGAAATACATCGACTTGCAACGAAACTAGCCAGCTTAAGGTGAGTAAATATGGGTTAATCTTTTAAGTAATTCTTGCCAGTTGGCGCATTCTAGCAAAGAATTATGTTCAGCAGTGGACTTAAAAAATCTGTTGATGAATGATCAATGAATATGTTTTAAAAGTTATATTGTACTGACAGCTCATTAGCGTGGTGGCTTAGCGTTGTTTTGGTACTGCAGGTCGGAGATGCGATTTCCGTATTGTGTATGTATAAACATTTAAAAATGCTAAACATAAATAATTCTTTAATATTATTAAAAAAGTTGCCATGTGTTTTAATATCTTATTATTAGGCAGGACTTGTACTTGTGATAGCATGGCAAACAATAATTCAATACTGTGCACTTCAAAATTAAAAATAATATTTAATGAAGCCTAAATTTGGATACAGCTTAATTAACAATTAAAGGGCATTCATAAAAAGAGCCTAGATACAAGATATTTGAATGACTTATTTACAACGCCACCTGTCGTCGAATAACATTCTTAAAGATGTAAAACTTCTTTATTTGTCCACAGGTGACAGTGGCAGCACTCACGCTTTGTACCTCGAAACTATAGTTGAGGAAACAAGCGATGATTTGCGTTCCGAACGTTCGTCTGCTGCAACTTGGCTCTCAGATTCAGACGCAGATTCTGTCATACATGTGCGAGGAGCTGGAGGTAATTGTGTTTACATAATTTACACAATAATTCAAATTTTTTTTAACCAACTAGCGCCATCTACTGTCAAGGAGCTATACACTTAAGCTTTCTTTCATAGCAATTGCTTCAAGTTATATAATGTAGATGGCGGTTGTTATAATAGTTTTATTCTGGCTTTCTTTAAATAAAAGTAAATAAAGTTTATTTTCTCTACCAATAATATAATCAATAGATTAAACTAATTTGATATAAATTAAGTTATCCAAATGTGTTATGACCATACGAGATCACAAGCTGAAATCAATTATTTTATTTCGCACACTTTCTTCATAGCTTAATTTACTTCATTCCCGAATCCTCTTGGAACAAATCCAAGTCATACGTTATAAGCATGTCCTAAAAATCGGTGTCATTGTCATTGTCGTCGCCAGTATGGATAGACGCGACGGAGTGTGAATTTGTGTTTCTTTATTGAGTGGAATACTTCTTCGTAGGATCAGAGTGCGACAGCGAGTCGGAGCGGGAATGGGCATGCCCGGCTAAACGGCGCCGCAGGGAGCGAGCCACCTCGCCCACCAGCTCGGCTTCGCTCTCGCGCTCCTCCAGCCTCGCTCAGTTCGAGTCTCTCGAACGTTCCTGCGCCGCACCAGCCTCCCCTAGCCTGTCACCGGATTCCCTCGAGTCGCCGCCGGCGTCGCCTCCACCAAAACGCCCCGCCCCTCGCACACATTTGTCCGCGGAGAACCTCAGCGAAGACAGCGGTTACAGTGAGCGCGCGCGACGCCCGCCGCCACCTGCCAAGCGCGGTTCGACAGAAATAGCACAGGGGCCGACCGCCGCCGGCTCCGCGCCTAACCTCGCCTCGCCCAGTGCCGGGCGGCGCCCGCCCCGTGCTGCGCGCGCTCTCTCGCTGCCCGCCGAGCTCGACGTGTGCGCCGAGCCACGCCGCCACACCGCACACCGCGCGCGCTTTCGCCAGACCTTCGAGGTGTCCGACAACCTGACCGTCAGCGTGGCGGACCTCACGGCTCTAGACTACCGCGGCGGCCCGAGGCGCCCGCGCCTCCCGCCGCCGCCGCCGCCTCCTCCGCGAGCCCCTCGCCAGCCACCTCCTCCGCCTCCTGTAGAAACTGTCGTGCGACAACCATCTCCGCCCCTGCTCCGCGAACCGAGTGCAGAGAGCAATTCAACGACCGAATCGGAACAAGCTTTCGCCCGCGAAATGGAAACGACAGCGCGGCGTCTCGACGAGAACGCTATGAGGGCGCTCGCCGAAACTGGTGACTTCGATAGAGGACTATCTGTGTTAACCGCGAAACGGTTGCGAGACTCGTGGGGAGCGTGGGACGACGTGCTCGACGAACTCCGCCGACGGATAGAACCTTCCTCCCCGACGCCATCCCCACCGCGTTCCCCCTCCCCGGATCCTATCAGGGAGCCCGTATTCGCGTCGACGCCGCTCCGATCGTCGTGCGATGCGCGCGTCCGATCCACTCCCGAATTACGCGCCCGTGCAACCCCTCATCGCGAGACGCCGGAAGAGTTGCGCGCGTCCTTACAACTAGTGGCACCGACGCAGCCCGACGCCGCGCCGCCCGTGCGATCCGTCTCCGCCGGCTCAAAAGGAGTAACGTTTTCACCGGTGGTGGCCGAGGTGAGCTGGCGGGAAACAAGTACGAGTAGCGCGACGAGCGAGAACACGACCACGAGCGCAAGCGACGACGCGGCAGACGCGGAGGTGGTGGTCGTGGAGGGGGGAGGCGAGGTGCCGCGCGCGCCGGCCGCAGAGCGCGCCATCGACATGACGGATGCGGGCGCGCGCGCGCCGCGCAGCCGTATCGCGGGCTTCCTGTCGCGGTTCGCGAACTTCCGTTTTTCGGGTCGCAAGGAGAAGAAGCCGAGGGGCGCAGGCGCGAACGGGCGGCCGGCCGGCGGAGTCGCGGCGACGGCAGATGCGGGGCACGGAGCGCGCGCGGCGGCCGGGCCGCAGTACGTGCGCATCCCGCTGAAGGAGGAGGGTGTGTCGCGGGCCGCGGGAGCCCCCGCGGCGGGCGGCGTGGCGCACAAGCCGCCGCGGCCGCGCCCGCCGCCCGCCCCCACGCCGGGCGTGCTGGAGACCGACGTGGACACCCAGCGCACCGTGCTGCATGCGCGCTCGCTGCTCGCCCTCGCGCCGCCAGACCAGCGCTCGCCGCGCCCGCACAAGTCCATGGAGTTCCTGCTCGACAAGGACAGTGCCCAGACAGTTCAGGTGAGTCCCGTTATGAATCCATATTTCCACTAAAATGTTTAAAAAAGCCTTGAGTTAAAGCTGCTTCAAGCTCTTGAAGTTCCAAAAATTAGATCTCTACACGAAACAGAGACTGCAATGTTTACAAACAGCGGGATCGATGCCGGCCGACGACCCCGCATTGCGCTCAGATGTCACGCGGCTATCAATACCTACACCATTTTAAAAATCAACCTTATTAAACAAACACAAAAACAACCGTATCACTCTAAGCTTAAACTGTTAAACGCGTTAATGTATATATTACAATACAGTACCAGTTCGCAGTATTTTCTAAACAGAACTAGAACGTCATTGCACGTAATGAGCAACAACGTATTCCCGAAAGGACGTTCCGAGTTGCCACATTATTAGTTTCGCACGCGATCCGCACACAGGGCGAGGTGAAAGTGCGGACAGCTGCACATTTCCTAAACACAATGCCTACATGTAGGACGCAACGGTGGGCGGAATTGTTTATCAAACAGTCTGCGGTAACAATCTACATACCGAAACCCTAGCCCGAATCACTTGATTAGCCATTTTCGTCCTTATTTCATCGAAAACATCATAGAGTTCCATTCAGTGAAGCTGTTTGAAACCAATTACGTAAGCCAGACAGTGATGTATAAGCTTCGGGGCCTAATAGCTAACAGATTAGATAACAACGAAGAGGATTGCTTTAGCATTAAAACGAAATATCTCCGTAAAGATAGGATACTGAGACATCCTATCTAAACAATACATAAACCTTCCCGATAAAACGTATATTTAGAAAACGTGACGAAAATGAAACAGATATATATATACATACTTAACGTAAAACTTTATTCTAACTCAATCTATAACATCATCATTTTCGTGTGCGTCTCTACAAATACCTATTATTCATGAGATTAAAACTACTAAGGAAAAATTTCCATAACATCTGAACCTAATTGCCTAATTCAATACAAAATCAGTGAGTCCAGTAACACTAAACAACATCGAAATAATCAACAGTCGACTTTAAAAATAGTGTTTTGTTTTTTTTTACTTGGCCACCATTTTGCCACCCAAGGTTCGTAATATAAACTCCCACGATTATTGTCGCGCAGGTTACTTTGAATGACATAACGCATAGCTGACTTTGACACCAGGGAAGTAAGCAACCGTGACACACGTGCAACTGCGACATAGCGCGTGTTTGTGTAACAATAATATATTGCAATTATTTGAATAGCGGGCGATTGTAGTAGATTGTTATTCACATCTTGGAAGATGCATTTACATTACATGCGGTTAAATGCAGTACACGAACGAGTAAACACACAGGCTTAAGGAATATTTATGAGCTAGGTTGCGTCGAATTAGGGCTTCGTGCACACAGTGGCATTATGCTTTTATTCTAGATTCTCTATTTTAACTGGCCGTGAGATAAAAGATACAGTTACATTAAAGGAATGAAAATACATAGTAGATCGCTTTTCTAAGGTTTTAATTCGGATTTTGCCTTTTCTGTGATTGTCGCGCAATTTCATAATTTCATGATACTTATTCACTTTACTAAATGCGATTTAAACACATTCTCTTAAAAATTGTATACATAAATTCTCACGCCTACCACACAGAAGTATAGGCAGAGACTAAAGATTTCTATTTAACACGATCCTGACACACCCCTCTCGCTTCCTTCACATCCATATATCTACACATACATGCTAGTCCGTTAACGGTACTCTTAATTTGGCCCATCTTCATTATATCGCCAGCTTGATCAATAAACTTTCTTCGAGAGGGACACCTCCTGACTCTAGAACTCACTTCTGTAGCATCATTCCCAACCCTGTCACTCAGTCACCCCCACCATAATCCTTAATGACCGCACTTCTACAGCATAAATAGGCCGTAACATAGACGCCATAGCATAGACGCCGGCAACGCATCGGCAATTCCCCTGGTGTTGCGGTTGTTCATGGGCGGCAGTAATCACTTACCATCAGGTGAGCCGTATGCTCGTATGCCCCCTCTCCTATAAAAAAATTCTACACTCAAGCTTCTTCTGCCACACCCAACTTTCACTTCATATATTAAGGTACTACAGCATCAATGGCTTAATGTATATTCATATAGTTGTTTGTGGTAAAAGAGTACTATTAAGTGATAATAATGATGATAATGCATAAGTAATTTCAGTTACAAAATAAATTATGTACATTAATTACAAAATAAATTACATTAATTACAAAATAAATTATTCCACATAACATTATGATCTATAACGTTCTCGAAGGAAGTCCGGGTGTGCATTTTCTCTTTTAATGTGCGATTTTACGAGTATTGCAAGCCGATATGTTACATTGTTCTTTTGTTTTCCTTAAGATGTTTATCTATACTCTACCTACTTACTCGCAGATCGCCTTTCGACACTAAAACTTAATGTAAGTACAATATGTACCCATCAGGACTATCGCAGACATTTCATTGAAAAATACTTTTGATTTAATCGCACAGGTTATGTACAGAATTAGGAAAAATAAACGCCTTCTGTTTTCCCTGTTTATAACACTATATTCTGTTCATTTTCGTCGCAACTACCAATAGTTCACCGTGTAGTTGCGGAAGATATTCCACTACCCCATATCATCCAGTGAGAGTCGTAAGAGTTGACAGAGGGAAATAAAATAAGAGATGAACAGATAAACTTGGCAACTATGACAAATGGCAAAATAGGGGGGATCTATGAAGCAACCTATCAAGGAGACCCTATGCTCAGCAGTGGACTTTGAGGGGTTGTAAAGGAATGATGAAAATGAATGAGTAGAAACTAAATGAATGAGAATTAATTAAACTAAACAATATTTAAAAATTAAAAATTGTTCAAACGACTTCAATATAAATTATTAAAACTAACTCAAAAACTATTGGTCAGAACCTTGATCAAATTATATGGGAGCACATGTGAAGCACTAGCTTTCAAATAAAAAAAAAAAGAATCATCAAAATCGGTGCACCCAGAAAAAGTTATGAGGTAACACACATAGAACAAAAGAACATATAGTCGAATTGAGAACCTCCTCCTTTTTGAATTCGGTAGAAAAAAGTCCAAATCAATAAATAAATTGCTAAAATATTTATGCAAGTGTAACTTTGTACACCAGTTTGTTTGTGCCAGTTAGGCACAAAGACAAATTATTATATGTTAATTAAGTGTTCATATTTTCCAATATTTAGTAAAATTTAAAAATATATTGTAAAATATTTGTAAATAGTAATAAATCAAAAATCCTCCATTAGTTGTTTTTTTAAATTATAGTATATCAGGTGTATTATGAGCGGATACAATCGAAAGCCTTAAAAATCTAAATGAACTCCTCAATATAGATTAAAAAACATCTTCATCATTCTTTTTAAAATGTTATGATGATGAAAAAAAAAAGAAGATTATTGACGGAATTTCCTTTAGGTGCATCAGTATTTTACACGTTTACTAACGATCAATTAGGTCGTTCGTTTAACTCGCTAAGCGTCGACGCGTTAGTATGTATCACTTCAATTGTATTTAATTACTTCGAATTTGGAGCAAAGGTCTATTGATACGGAAATATATAATATATTCTTACTCACTTTTGACTTCCAATAAGTAAACAAAGATTAAGATGCGACGTAAAATAAAAACATACCTACAAATCAAAATGATGCTTCTTTATTTCAACTTATTTGCAGGTGACCAACTTAAAATGAAAAAGTATTTAATGGACTGTTAGGCAGTGGATTTTATTATGGAATTAGGGTAATTTGTGTGTACAAACGTACACATAATCCACCTGATGATAAGTGGGATACTGTGACCCATACACATCTAAATTTATCCTCGATTAAGAATCAAAGAGAGAGCCGTTGTAGCTCAGGTGGTTAGCGCTCGCTGTAAGCTTCACAGTACGCGAGCAACCCGGGTTCGATCCCCGCCGGCACCAATGAAATTGTTAATTGCAATGTTAAATGCTGATTTACCACGTGCTCGGCGGTGAAGGAAAACATCGTGAAGAAACCTGCATATCTGAGAAATAAGAAAAAAATATTTCGATGACATGTGAAGTTCGCCAACACGCATTGGGGCAGCGCGGCGGATATTTCCTTGCCCTAAAACCCTCTCAGAAATGAGAGAAGGCCTGTGCCCAGCAGTGGGACGTAAATAGGCTGCAACTTTACTTTAAGAATCAAAGTGCTGATGTGTTATCATCCCTGAAGACTAAGATGGAATGCCTCATAACCAGTAAAAAGGGTCTCCGGTTCTCTACACTTACCATACAAAGTACAGCAGCATTAAGCTGTTATTTTACGTTGGTATTCTGCGAGCGCGTCATCCTTCCCCGGTCGAGCCAAACCATTTGTGCTACAAACAATAAAGTTGTAGCATGGCTCTCCAATTAGTACCACGTGGTAGCGAAAAGGGTTGTCACTTCAACGTTTTAAAAACAAGATACATGTGTTTGGTGCGTATTACCACCACCACTGTAATACTTCTCCTCCCTTGTTTCATCAGCCAGTAAAAGTCTACAGTAGGATATAAGTATATAAGCATTGTATAGTGGGTGTAGACGACGAGCCCCTTTACTGGAAACTAGGCATTCCATTTTAGTTCGCAGGGTTGACAATGCATCTGAATATGATTCTTAATCCAGGATAGACGGATGCCTATCCTTACTTGACTTATAATATGGTCATAGGTCGGCCTATGAACTGAAAGATACGTGGATTCGAATCCGCCATTAAACGGTGAACAAGCGAGAATATTACTAATGTTAAAAGGTTCACTAGTGTTATTTCTAAAAATAATTATGATCCTGATTGAAAACCAGTGGCTCACAGATTACCATATATTTTTAGCCGAGGAGGAAGTTCTCAATTCAACTTTTTTGAATGTAAATTGCGCGATATCTTCGTGTCAGTGCCATTGTGCCTTACAACCAAACAACCCTATAGATATGTATACAATATAC